GGGGTGGGACGGGGTGGGGTGGGGTGGGGTGCCGGGCACACACCAGCGCCGCCGTTTTGTAAGTGGTGGCAGCGTCTGGAAAAGTCTAGATGAGCCAGCGCCGCCGTTGCTGCATCTGCCAGCTTGCTCCACGATTGATGGCTGGCTGGGTCATGCCACGCGTGCGGCCGACTCGCTACAGCGCGCAAGGCCTCGATCTGCTGCGCATCCCCTGGGGCCGCCCAACCGCAGGTGTGGTGCTCCGCCGCCAAGATGCGCACGCTGCGCCTGCTGCAGCTGCCGGCGTCGTGGATGGCCCTGCTGACGTCAGACCCCCTGGAGGCCGGCCTGCACGTGCTGGGCGGCGGCCTGCGGCCAGAGCGGCTGCTGCGGCGGTACGGGCTCGTGGTACCCGAGGGCGAGGAGCAGCAGCAGCAGCAGCAGCAGCGAGGGCGGAGGCAGCCAAGTGGTGGGGCCAGCGCCGCCCGTGCGGCCGGCGCCTTGGAAGGCCAGGAGGACGAGGACGAGGAGGAGGACGACGAGCAGCGCGCGCGGCGGGAGGACGGTGCCGCTGCTGACGAGGCGGAGGAGGAGGACCTGGATGAGGCGCTGACGCGGAAGCTACAGGGCCACTGGAAGGCCGTGGTCGGGTTCCGGCCCACGGGTGAGCGCTGCTCGCGGCGCCAGTGCTGGCGTGCAGCTCACCGGGCGCGGCAGGAAACACACAAAGCACACTTATTGAGGTCGTGTTGTGTCAGCGGCGCGTCTCATGCACCCTGTGTTGCTGCAATTGTTGTGGGTTGTAGCAACACACCCCCTCCGGCTCTTCCTTACCCATACCCCAAACGCAGGCTGGTCATACCGCCGCAGCGGTGGTTTGTCGTGCTGGCGCCTGGGCCCCGCGGCTGTGTACGGCATCCCCTACTCTGAGCACTCCAGCTTCACGGGTACGCACGTCCCGCACATCCCGCCACCGCTGCCCGCCGCTATTTGCGGCGCCAGCTCGCTGCGCTCTCCTATCTGCGACATGCGCGACGCATGACATACCACCCGTCCGCCCACGCACTCATCCGCCCTTCTCGCCTCGCCCCCATCCCCAACCCAGACCTCCAGGCCTGCGTGCGCGCGCTGCGCCCCAGCCGCATCATCCCCACCGTCAACGCGCCGGACGCCGCCAGGGCGCGCGCCATCGTGGACCGCTTTGCCCCCCTCATGGACCTCAGCCGGGACCGCAGCCGCCTGGACGCCTACTTCCTCAGGGCCGCCGCACCAGCAGCAACAGTAGCAGGGGCAGCAATAGCAGCAGGAGCAGCAGCAGGAGGGGTCGCAACATGTGGAGGAGCAGCAGGAGGAGCAGCAGCGGAAGGAGCAGCAGCTGGGGCAGCAGCAGAAGCAGGAATGGTGCCTGAGCCGGCTCAGTGTGGCGCTGGCATCAGCGTGCCGAGCGGCCGTGGAGGGATGGGTGGGGCTGTCGAGGAGCCTGCGGACGCAGGGGATCCCTGCGCCGTAGGCGCGCTCAACTGTGCAAGCGGGGCGCGAGATTGTGCTGGGCTGCAACCATCCAGCGCGGGCCCAGACGTTGGCGGCGGTGCAAGCTGCGGTGGGGGCGACGGCTGCGGCAGTGGAGGCGGGCTAGGGAAGGGGCAGGACTGTGCTGTGAGCCTGGAGGAGGAGGACGAGGAGCAGCAGCGCCGCCTGCTGGAGGGGTTTGAGCGGCAGCAGGCGCTGCGGCGTTCGCTCGCGGCACGCGAGGCGGCACGGGCAGCCAAGCGGCAGTGTCGCAGCAGCGCGGGTAGTAGCGGCGCTGCCGTCGCCGCGTCCGCCGGTGCAATGCGGAACGTTGATGACACGAGTGCCGGGATCAAGGCGGGCAGGCGCAATAGCAACAGCAGAAACAGCAGCAGTAGCAGCAAGACGGCCACAGGCAAGGGCTTTAGAGGGATTTCCTCGTTTTTCACATCGAACTGAACTTCCTGCCAGGCATTCCTGGTGTCTCCTCAGGGCTTATTCGATGGCTCACTGCTCTTTGCCAAAGGAGCCATAGGTGTACTTATTACACACATATGCCACGTATGCACATTTCCTCTGTAGGCCACCTCATCCCTCACCTTTTGGGGCTGCACATAAGCGCAACAGCCGCGCAAGGCATTACTGTAACGCGCGCTCCAATGCAGACGCTATGCTGATGACTGAAATGTGTGTTCACCGTTGTGGCATTGGTTGGATGCACATTGTCACATCACATCACACCACACTACATCGTAGTGCTGAGCAGTGGCTATGCCAAAACCCATACCCAGCAGCAGCCACTGCGGAGGTGCACGCTGCTTGTTTTCAGTGGGACCAACTTTTTTTTCCCGCCGTACGTCCTGGACAGGACTAAATCCAGATTGTCAAAGAGCAGCAGTTGTGCCGTAAGAAGTCAAATCAGCGCGCATCGGTGAAGCTATTGTTTGCCCACCAAGCCCAAGCTCAACGGCAGGCAGAGAGGGCTGGTGTGAAGAACGGACGCCTGTGCTAGTTGCAGGATCCTCTGCCATTCAAGACGCCGGCCACGCTTGACAAGGATCGCCACCTCCGTGAGGGGTGGCGGCGAGCCCCCACGCGCGGCTTCCCTATGGCTACTCACTGCAGGACATGCTGCTATCGGCAGGGGCGCGCTCGCAGCGACTTCAGAGGGACGAAGCACGAATGGTTGTCAAGTCATCTCAGCAGAAGGCGGTGCATGCTGCATGCGTGCCGCAGACTCGCAATTGGTCACGGCAAGGATGCCCTCCCTGCAGGCCACCACTCACCGGTGCTGCACTCTAGCGCACGCTCCGGACGCCGAACCGTGGGAGGGGCAGCAGTACCACATGTTCAAGCAGAGAAGTTGCAGGTTTTCTTTGTGTCTTTGTGTGGGAGGTGTGAAGCCAAGCCACAAACAGTGCTGCAAGGGTTGACTCTAGTCAATGCAACAATTGAGGGAGAAGGTGAGTGCAGATAGCTCCAGGGATGATGTCATGCCGGTTTACCCAACACTTGAGCCGGGCGCTGTTGGGCGGCTGTCCCCCGGGGCGTTTGGCACCTCCGCAGCCAGCTGTGACCCAAGGTGAAGCTCCAGAGCAGGCGCGCTTGCGCGGCAGGCTGCACTCAGCGATTGCGCGTGTATCAGTCTGAGCAGGGCGAAACCTTGCATCTGTAGAATTTCCCATACAATCTTGTTGGACGCTCCTTACTTGTATCACTCTTCAGCACGCTTTTCATTGCATCGGATCTGATCTACAGCTTAGGAAGGCGGTGCTCTCGGATCCGGAGGCGCGATGGCGCCCAAAGAAAAGCTGGAGCCGACCAAGCAGCCCCTGACGGCCGTGCTGCTGGCGGACAGCTTCACACAGGTGGGTGCCGAAGAAGGGGGCGTCGGATGTCGACGAAAGCGAACAATCAATGTGTGAACGGATTGAAAGGCGTCAACACAATCCGTCATGCAGCTGCTGCTGATACCTTGCTGATTATCGCGAAGTGCCCGGAGACGGCAGCGCGGGAGCAGCGGCTGGCGCGTCAACTGCTGCTCTGCCGCGCCTTGCCTTGCGAGGCCCGTCATAGCAAGCCGACAAGAACTGCTGGTATCGTTGGCCGCTGGTCGTTGGGTGTGCAAGCCGCCGCCCCACCCATGTGAACGGTGGTTTGACCCCTCCCCTCCCCCCCACTCCCGCACCCCAAACAAAAATTCAGAGGTTCCGCCCGATTACGGTGGAGCGGCCCAAGGTGCTGCTGCCGCTGGTCAATGCGCCGCTGATCGAGTACACCCTGGAGTGGCTGGCCCTCAACAAGGTCGAGGAGGTGCGCGGCAGGGGGCGACGCCAGGGCGGGGCGCGGCGCGGCGGGGCGGGGCGGGCGGCCCTCAGGAGTTGGGGCCGTGGGTGGGCCCCTGAGGAGGTGCCCGAAAACCAGCACGATACGGCACGGGAGGGCTCAGGGGATGCAAAAGTGGCGTAAATGCGGCTAGGGGCGGTCGACGGGCTGCGGCAGGCAGCCGTCGCGAGCGCCAAGGCGCGCAGCACAGGAGGCGGCAGCGGTGCAGTCCAGCAGGGCCACCTTGCGCACGCGAGGCAGCGGCGTCGGGCGCACCAGGCGGCGCACCACCAGCGACCGTGGCGGCGGTGCCGGCGGGGAGCCTTCTGCTAGCGCTTGGGCGGCCAAAGAGGGGGGTGTATGATCCTCCTAGCTGCGTCCCCGCTGGAGGGCGCGTGCGGGCCGAGTGGGCACTGTGCCTTGCGGCCGCCAACGCAGCCCGGGGCGCGTGCGCGCGCTCAGCCTGCTGGTGGCCCTCGCTGCCGCCGAGCAGCGCGCCCTGGCGACTCCCAGCAGCGGCACGCCCCACACTCTGTGCGGGCTCCACCCCCGCGGGCCCGCCTGGCTGCTGCGCGCCCTCTCATCCCCCCCAACCCTGGGAAACTGCTTGCTCATTCGACTCACACCACCCCCTCACCCCC